ACTACTACTACTACTACTACTACTACTACTACTACTACTACTACTACTACTACAACAACAATCACAACAACACCATCATCGTCATGGTTAAAAATCAGAACAAAAATGACTATTCCATTCTTCTTTGATGTTGTGGTTATCTGAGTCTTTTTATACAGGTTATAGAAGATGGGGTCAGTATTCAGACCCCTCTAACCCATCTGACCTCAGTTAACCCCCTGACCTCTCTGACCCTGACTGACCCCATTTGACCCCTCTGACTCATCTGACCTCACTTAACCATACTGACCCCTCTGACCTCACTTGACCCCTCTGACCTCACTTGACCCCTCTGACCTCACTCGACCCCTCTGACCTCACTCGACCCCTCTGACCTCGTTTGACCCGTTTGACCCCTCTGACCCCTCTGACCTCACTTGACCTCACAGACCAGCACTCACCTCAACCAGCCGGCGTGTGATGGCCACCCGGACCAAGCTGTCTCCCCTCTGGTCCACGGCGTTGAGCTCAGCCCCGGCGTTGGAGAGCTGGTAGACCATGGGCACCCACTGGGTCTCTCGTCCGCACTGGCACTTCTCACAGACTACGTGCAGGAGCGTACGCCCCCTGGAAGTAGTGAGTGTCGTGTGTGAGTGTGTGTGTGCGGGGGGGTGTGTGGTTTAGATTTGGGTAGTTGGAGGATGCGGCTGCATGGGTGGTTCTGTATACATGTATTTATGTTCTTCTCACTCTGTTGCATCTGTCTGTCTTGGGTTTTTTTGTTTGATTTTTTTGTCGTGCATTAAATAGCTGTAATGACGTTGTGTTTTTCTTTACTTAAATCTTGGATCATTCTGTGTAACAGGAGAGGAGACGAGATGTCCAAAATAGCAGAACGCGATATCGTATATTATAATAATATAATAATATTTCATGACCACGACGGTTGCAGCTGCTCCTTTGGACAGGTTCTCTCATCACATCATTAGTCTCCACTAGATAATGGCAGATGGTTGGAGTTCAGGGGGAATGGGTCCTACTTCTTCTCTTTCCGTCAGTTGTTTCTGTCTATCTTGCTTTTTCCTCACACTAAATGACTGTTGTCGTGTTTATGTCTTTATCTTTACTCGAACTGAACGCCAGATTATAGTCTAGGTGCGTGGTATGGTCACATGCCAACGCTTTTGCCATAAGTTATAAAACATATATGTATAAGTAAGGTGATATTCATGTTTGGTAGTATAGTATACCTAGTTAAAGGGAACTGAATAATAATACAAGTAATGATTTATTAGTTCTCTATAACCCGTAGCATCTCGATTTCCGCGGATAGTGGATAGCAGTCTCAGAATCCGTGTACTACGATTATATCTCTACGATTAACCTTTCTTTGTTTGGGACCACCGTAAGAAATCGTGACCGCTCTTGGCTTGGGCTCTGGCATTCTTGACATTCCGCGAATGTCGTGGATGTTTGTGTCCGATAATGTAACAGTGAGTCGTGTGTTGATGTGGGTGCGGAGCAGGTGGTTATTAGGAGCTGCTGCCGTTTGGTCTACTTTTCTGGCTTTGTTTCTTTGGGCTTTTCTCGTAATTTATAATATACCCGAGCTTAAAAGGCCGTTTACGCACCGACTCCACGTAATTATTGTCAGTGAAGCCGCCACGAACAGGTGGATGTGTGCTGTTGTGGGTGTAGGAGGTAGCGGATAATAGCTGGAGAAAGTGGTTGGAGGGCATCAGGGTAGGTTTTAATTATGTTCCTCCACTCTGTTGTTTCTGGTTGTATCTTTGAGGCAGCGTGGTGGAATCAGGCTCTCGTCAAAATAAAGTGAAGAAACTTGCATTTTTCGGCAGGTTTGTGAATTTTTATCAAATTTTAGTTTTTTTGGCCCAACACCTTTCCTGCCCAATAAATAAGTAATTTCTGTGTGTATTTTTCTGAAGAGCGTTGCTTAAAGGCACAAAAATGTAAATTTTCAGTTACCACGGACTCTTAAACTAAGGAAATAACTCATCTTAGGCGGCCATTTTCTCATTAATTTTACCTCTGAAAACAGGTGACCCCCACCTCCTTCTTTCGCAAATATCTCGACTTGTATTCAAGATGAATGTATATTTTTTTCATCTAAGTAAAGACAAATGAATAAGCTTTAAGATGATACCAATAACTCTACATGCCCAAAAATTGCGAGAGCCTGATTCCACCACGCTGCCTCACATCTTTCTTTTTCTCATAACTCTATTCTTTTGATCGTTTTCGTTATTCTGTCTTTGTGTTCCTTTCTACTCAAACCCGAAACAGACAGAAAGGGAGAGGGGAGCGAGGAGCAAGGAGGTAGATTTAAGGAATGAGTGATTGGAAAGGCAGAGAGAGATTAAGAAAAAAGTGCATGCACTGTCCTATAGACAGTGGCGTGCTTACTATAGTGCGATCCAAAATTCGTAGCGCAACTTTTTGTCAAAATCTCCTCAACTATCGAACATAGGTTCTCCAATTTTTGCACAATTATTTGTATCAATTTGTCTTAACAGATCAATATTTTTGTAAACACCCGCTAGCTGTATTCTAGAAAATTCCTTAATAATTTCTAATAAATAATCCAAAAGGATGGTCTCTACAGATTTTAATAAGTTTACAGCTGGGACAATTATGCTTTTAATAGCAAGTCCGTCATGTTTTTCTAATCGGGACATTATGCTTATTGAACGCATGTTTTGATGCTTTAAATAGTAGTGCAAAAATGCGTTCACTATATAATTAATTTCTTGTAATAAGTTTTGCCGCTAAAAATTGTCATTGATCAGCTGTGACGTAGGCCATATGCGTAATCAAAATGTGTGTGAGAAGCGGGAAGTGCTGTGAACAATCCCATTTTACATGTGGCAGAGATTTCAAGTATTTTATATACCTTTATGAACAGTTTTATAATCTAGCCCCAATTGTGCTGGAAAGATATGATTTAGCTATTACAAATTGATACAAACTGCAATGCAAATTGTGGGTGAAATTGATTCATCCGTTAAAGAGATAATTGAAGATAAGTTACGCTACGAATTTTTGACCGCACTATAAATATAAAACGTCATATAGATCTAGATCTATCAAATGTTTTTCGCCAGCTTACAGTTAACGTACTTGACGCGATGGTTCAAGTCTAGAAACTCGTTTGTCGAGCAGTCGTTAATTCGAGCTTCTGTTTGTTGTTCCTTTCTCTTCCAAGATATTTTTTTTTTGGTTTATTACAAGAACTCACCCTTAGAGTTCCTGCGTGTTAGGGTGTAGTGATAGTTAACACTCCTGGTTGGGTGGTTGGAGGGCGCCTCTGGCATGTTCTACGTCTGTACCCTGGTTGTTGTTTTTTTACGTCTCTTTCTCTCACTTTTCTCAACACTAAGCGTGGGTGGTTGGTGGGTGCTCTGGTGTGGTTTCCTTCTTCTTTCCTATCAAACATCTATCGTCCTGATCTCTCCTCCTCCTTTTTTGTGTTTGTTACTCTCTTGTAACACATTTAAATCTTCGGCACTTATATGACCTTATTGTGTTGCAAGTTGCAAGTGCCGTAAAACACTTGCTAAAACTAAAACACTAAGTGACGGCGATTGTGTCGATGCGCTTCTCTTTACCTCTCACTCAGGTCAAAACTCCTCAACTATATAATATATAATCGTATCAATCTTTGTATGCACCAGTCGATTTAGTTTTTCTGCGTGTGATTGTCGGATGCTATGGTGTGGTTTGCTCCTTCTTTCTTATCAAACATCTATCGTCATCATCTCCCCTCCTTCTGTTTTGTGTTTGTTACTCTCTTGTAACACCTCTAATCTTCGGCACTTATGTGACCTTATTGTGTTGCAAGTGCCTTAAAATTCTTACTAAAAAAACTAACCCCTCTAATCTTCTTATTCAGCACTTATATGATCCATTTGTGTTGCCAGTGCCGTGGAACTGTTACTAATACTAAATGTATACTCACTTTTTGGCTTCACTAAATGTTAGGCATTGTTTTTTAACTCTCACTCTAAAGTTAAACTCTATTCAACTATGGCAATAGCACCAGCCTTTGTATGCATCAATCTATTAAGTTGTTATATCGTGGATGATAAGAGGGCGCTGCGGGTAGGTCCTACTTCTTTACTTTCCCTCTGTTGTTTCTGTCTGTCTGTCTGTCTGTTTGTCTTACTTTTTCCGAATAGTAAAGTAAAGTTGTTCCCGCTTCCGATCCGGATATTGGGGGTTGCCTTGTGAGACAACTTCCTGGGCCTTCGACATATGTGAGGCAGCGTGGTGGAATCAGGCACTCGTCAATTTTTGGGCATATTGGGTTATTGGTATCATCTTTAAGCTTGTTCATTTGTCTTGATTTCAATGAAAAAACTACCCATCCATTTTCAATAGAAGTGGAGATATTTTGGATTGAAGGAGGTGGGGGTCAACTCATTTAAGAGGTAAAATTAGTGAGAAAATGGCCACCAAAACTAGGTAAATTCCAAAGCTGAAGAGTCCATGGAAACTATAAATTTATATTTTTGTGCCTTTAATCAACGTTTTTGGTGAAATCCTTAAAAGGAATGTGTTTGTAAACGGACAGAAAAGGTGTTGAGAAAAAAAAATTGATAAAAATTGTAAAGCAGGGAGAAAACTGCTGTTTTCTTCGATTTCATTATTTTGACGAGAGCCTGATTCCACCACGCTGCCTCACATATTGTGGTAGGGTGGCCAGTTCCTTTCCACGCCGCCTTTACTTCCCCAACTCGAAGTCAGGTACCCATTACTGCTGGGTGGGCTGGAGAGGGCGAAAAAACTTCTGGTCCGGACTTTCCGCTTCGGAGACGAGCACTCTAGATTTAACTGCTCCGCCAGCGCACCCTCTTCCCAGTAGTAAATGACCATTAAGGCTTCGATGTGCTTCTCTTTACTCAAACAAACATGTTGTTCTCTATGTTTGTTTCAGTAAGCCCCAAGAGCCCCGAGAACAGAGGTCGAAATGGCTGAAGACGGCGACCATGATGGGCTGGCAAAGCTTCAACTCTGATGTGTCCAATCAGACGTCGGCCTCCAGCGCCAGGTCAGTGACGTGTTATCGATAGCTCTTTGGACTTCGTGCTGTCTGCTCCTTTTTCTTCTTTTTGTGCCTTTTGGGTCTTGGTCTGTACTTTTTGTGGGAGGGGGGGGAATTAAAAGATGCCTTTTTTAAGTCTGATTTTTTTTTCTTATTCTCTGTTTTTTCTGTATGTCTGTCTGTCAGTCTGTCTGTTTGGCTGTCTGTCTGTCTGTCTTCTTGTCTGTCTGTTTGTCTGTCTATCTGTCTGTCTGTTTGTCTGTCTGTCTGTTTGTTTCATTAACCTTGACGGCGGATGGTTGGAGGGCGCCATTGGTAAGTCCTCTTCCTTTTCGTTTCCTCTGTTGTTTCTGTCTAGCTTTTTCCCTGAACTATATGGCCGTCATTATGTCGAAGTTTTTCTCTTTATTCAAAATTAAACCCCTCAAACTATGCTAAACTAAATCGTTTTCTGCCAATATGTAGCAGTTACCTTGTAGGTTCAGTTACTGGGGGTGGTTGGAGGGCGTCACTGGTAGGTCCTACTTCTATATTTTCCCACTGATGTTTCTGTCTGTCTTGTTTGTTTAGTATAGGGTTTTACGGCGCTCGCAACTGCATAAGGTCATATGAGCGCGCGAGACACGCCTAATACTTTTTCGTTGGTAGGAAATTTTGAATTTTGCCCGGGTGGCGGCCGAAGCCTACTCTTATCGATTTTGGACCACCAAAGGATCTTTAACGTGCGCAACTTGCACACTGGCCCTCCGAGATTTTTCGCCCTTGTCCGAGAAGGCTAGGTGTAGATCTTTCCTACCAGAAGATCAGGGGTGTGGCAGAAAGAC